TTGGCATTTTAACTTTATATGTTGTTTATGTTCCACTTTGGTGATTTCTTATCTTTGCAGATTCCTTTCTCTTACTTTGGGTTTAGCTTTCTCCTTTTCAGAATTTCGGTATAGATCACTAGGTTATTTGTTGTATATATTTATATTCTTATGTCTGTGGTTCAAGTGTAGTTTGTCAAAACTCTTGTTGAAGCCCAATTCTGCTTGTAATGTTGCAGCATGACCAAGTCTTTAAGCTAGATTCATGCTAGTTTCTATGGGACTAGATAGCACTGGAGCCAGTCTGGCCCCTCTCCAAAGTCCCTCTAGTGCCTGTGTGCCACTACATTATGCCATCTTGCATGTTAGCACAGTAAAGACAGCGCTTCCTTCCCAGATGTGTACTGTTTGAATTTTCCAGCAACCAGAATTCTAAACTTCTTTCTTTCAACATTACTCAACATTAGTTACAGTACTTACAGCAACACAGAAACTGGCCAAAATCTTTCTTAGAAATAAGAATTTGTTTCTCTTGAAGTTGTGCTTTGCCACACTCTACGTTTGAATGCTGTATTTCAGTTGTTCACTTCAAAGTATTTCTAATTTTCTTACCATTTTATCTTATGAATGTTTCTTGAAATATATTATTTTGCTTTTAGAATATTTAAATTTTTCTAGGTAGTTTTATTATGGATTTCTAATTATACTTTGCTATCAGAGAATGTAATCTCTATGATTTTAAGCCTTTAAATGTATTGAGCTTGTTTTATGGTTTAACATATATTTTATCTGTTGATTATAACAAGTATATTTGAAAAGAACTTGTAAATTTGTAGCTGTTGATGTCATTTCCGTCACTTTAGTTAGATGAAAGTATTTAATAGTACTATTTAGATTGCTACTAATGTTTGGTGTTTAATTGTCATAAGTTTGGAAAGAAGAGATTTTTTTTAAATATATATTGCTTGACATTGTTATGGAATTCTCTATTTCCCCCATTCACTTCTGTTAAAATTCATTTCATGTGTTTTAAACTCTATTAGGTAGAATACATCAATAACTATCTCTTTGTCTGATAACCAGACAAAAAGAAGGCCCCATATTACGAGTTTTTGTTGTTGTTTGTTTGTTTGGTCTTTTCTTGAGACAGGGTCTCCTTGTAACACCAGCTGGCCTGAAACTCACTATGTAGACCAGGCTGGACTTTGAACTCACAGAGATCCTTCTGCCTTTGCCTCCCAAGCAGGAATTAAAGGCATGCATCACCACTCCCGGATCATATTATCAGTTTTTTCAAACAATCTTCTTTCTTCCTTTTTCATAGCTTTCCCCCCCATCCTTTGCATGAATACTACATACCAATTTATAAAGCAATGCATTGGATAGTTTAGAGACAAATGATAAAAAGTTATTTAAAATAGTACTGTTTTATAATTACATTTAAATTTTAATATCTACAGAGAGAATTAAATACAGCAGAGATTTCTTGTTGAAGCTTTCAAGTGTTTCCATCTGCAGACAAAAACCAGACTTTCTGCCTGATCATCCCATTGTACTTCAAAACCCAGTAAGTCATTTTCTAAATTTGTATCATAAAATTATATTCCACGTTTTTGTCTTTAACATTTTCATTTGATTATTATACCTAAATTTTTAATTTTTTGCATTATAAAATAATAGTGCTACAAAAAAAAGAATAAAAATTGGGGCTGGTGAGATGGCTCAGCGGTTAAGAGCACCAGCTGCTCTTGCAGAGGACCCGGGTTTGAACACCAGCACCCACACTGCAGCTAACAACCGTCTATAATTCAGGTTCCAGGGGATTCAACGCCCTCTTCTGTCCTCCATGGGCATTGCATGACATGGTGCACTTAGACACATGCAGACATAACACTCATATACATAGAATATATAAATAGAAAGCATAAAATCAAAATGTATATTTATAACCAGTTATAAAATAATTATTATTTTATAACTGGTTATAGCAATGGAATAATTGTATTTTGTTTATAAAATATTCTGCTGAAAGATTTTAAAAATATCATCTCATAGTCTAAAAGTTCTATTTTGTTTTTCAATTGAGTTCTGTAATCTACCTGGAATTTATTGTAAAGCATGGTATGAGGTGGGAGCTGTTTGATTTTTTTCTGCATGGATATCTAGTCATCCCAGCAATATTTAAAGAAAGGACAGTTGCCTATGGCAAAGTCTGCTAGTGGGCTTTCTGTTCTACTCAGGCTTTGTATATAGATCACCCAGTAACTTCCATGGCTTTGCTGCTGGCCCTTTATATTTCTATATCAATCCATCGAATCTATCAAAATAAGTACACATAGTGGATAAATAATGCATCCTTTTGGATGTTTATGGAAAGGACATGGTTTTGGCATCAAATTTGGCTTCAAATTTTAGCACCATGCTGCGTATTGGTGGCTCAAACTTTGACAGTCACGTAACCTTGAGATCCAATTTTGCAGTCACATATAAGGATAGTAACTGCTATGTGGATAGGATTAAATAAAATAACATAAAATTGCCAACTAAGATGCCTATCCATCATAATGCATTCAGTAAATTATTTCTGTCCCTACTAAAATTTGACTTTGTTATCAAAACCACTATTTTATTTAGGTAGAAGCAGCAGTAATGTTAAGATAAGACTTGGTATATAACCCTGCTGAGAAAAGTTCTGATATAGGGTAGAGAGTACTACTTCCTATTTCCATTTTGGGGACTCTAAATCTTGAAAGTCCATAGCATTTATTTCCTCAGTTATGGGTAATTTACAGAAGGTAAATGCACTTGCTACAACAGCATGAGGACCTGCATTTGAATCCTCAGAACCCACAGAAAAAGCGGGGCGTACATGGATATGGAGACAGGCAGATCACTGCGCTTGCTGGCCACCACCTTAGCTCCCAGATTCAGCAAGTGATTGTCTCAAGGGAATAAGGTGGAGAGATAGAGCAGGATACCAGCATCCCCCTCTGACCTTCATGCATGCACAAGGGTACACACCTGTCACAAAAATCTTACACATATACCACACAGACACACACATACACACACCACAGCCACACACACAATAACTAAATGAATAACATCTCCAAAGTTATAAGCTATACAAATTTTATATTAATCATTGTTAATATCAATATTTCATATTTAAATTTACATGTCTCCAGCCAGTTAAAAATTTATTTTTATTTTATTCTATTTTGTGTACATGTGTGTGTTTGTGTGGGGAGGTGGGGGGATGTGGGTGTATGGGTGTATGTGTGCCACTGCATATGTGCTGAGGTCAGAAGACAGCTTTACATAAGTTGGCTTTCTCCACCATGCAGGTCCTGGGGATGAACCTCAGGTCATCAGGCTTGGCAACAGTGCCTTTATCTACTGGGCCCATCCCAGTAGTTCTTCAGTGAGTTTTCCAAAATTGAATCAGGATAGAAATTTTTTTGGACCAGGCATGGTGATGCAACACCCTTTAATCCCGGAACTTGAGAGGCAGAAGCAGGTAGATCTCTGTGAGATCAAGGCCAGCCTTGTCTACATAGCAAGTTCCAGGCCATCTTAGGGCTGCAGGGAGATCCTATCTCAAAAAACATTAAACAATGTTTTTTTTTTCTCCCCACAAAATCTTCCAGAAAGGAATATTTAGGACGAAAAAGAGTACTAGCTATTTTCTCACCTGTGTGAAGACCTTAGGGAACACATAATTTCTTAATCTTTAAGAATAAGTAGAAATTTTAATTCTACATAAAATAAAATCACTTTATTTTCAGACTTACTATTTAATATCACTTTATTTTGCTAATAAAAGTTTGACAAACTTATTTTGAATAAACATACATTAGAATTGCTTACTTTCGCTCTGTGCATTAATAACATTTAAAAAACTAGGTATCAAAGAAACAAACTCAACAAGCTTAGAATACCATGTCACATATTTTTAAATGGATTACACAAGTTTATCGAAACACAGACCTGTTTTCTATTGGACAATTCTAGTTACTTTAATAGTGTCTATAGTAACATGCATTTAGATCTTAGTAGGCTCACAGTATTTGGTTGAATAGACTAATGTGTAAAAAACATATTCAGTTAGTCTAATTGAGAAATCATCTTTCCTTCTCTATTACAGGAAAACAACCAAAGTTTTAAGTAGCATTTTAAGAACAGATGAATTTGAAGATAAAGAATTATTCATTTTATATTTTGGACACCTGCAAATGAAGTGGATCTAATAATAATAACTAATGGACTGTGACAATTCTATTTATTTTTACTTTTGATGGTTGGCTATTTGGCTTCTCATAAGATGAAAAAGAGATGTTTTAAACTATAAAGAATTTTTTAATCAGTTTCAGCTTTGCAGGTGGTTTCCTACAAAAACTGGGAAGTAACACTCGAAAGTGGGAATTTTGTTAGCAAAGTGGGAAGACTGTATTTATCATTTGCATGCTACTTGCAATTCTTGTTTTCATCACTTGTAATAATGGAATGAAAATGTAAGCTGTAAAGGTTCTCAAATATAAAGTATTCGCTACAAGATATATATGGTACATAATTTCTTCTTGTTTTAAAGTTGCTTTTATTCTTTTTCCCACAAATTTCATACGAGCACTTCAGCAGACCATTATGATCTCTCTGCAGGCATAGAATGATTCAGGATGTTCAAAACATGTTTATCAATGGCAAGAGGGAAACTTTTTAATACACATTTCAGATATGAGATTGATTGATCTCTAGGTTCTTAATAACACTGTCTTAAATTCACAGTTACTAATGGAGATGGTAAATCAAACTGAAGTTGAAAAGCAATTTACCTGATGTCACTAGTCAGACTATATGGTTAGGAGTTGAGCAATTGAAAATAAAATTGATATTTTCGTCTCCAATAGAGGAAAAATTTAGGTATTTGCAAATAATGGAGGTGCATTAAGTTTCAACCTATATAACAAGAATATTTAAATAAAGAATTCTGGGACTTAAGCTTTTAATTCCTAGAAAGTCAACAGTGTTAAAAACATTGCAGATAGAAAGGTAAGTATAAACTCACTTCTTCTGTTCTCTTGGGTCCCAGGGTCTATTAGTGAGACCTTCAAGGGTCACCAGTTAGCAGAAACTTCACCTTTCCCTGAGTGGGAACTCCTAAAACCAGCACCTTTTTATTTACTCCTTTGGGGACTTGTCCAGATTTCACTAGCCCATAGTTGATTTTCTATCTTGGTCTTTTAGTAACCTCTTTTTTACTACTTTGCTTCCCAGAGAAAGTATTGTTCTTTTTTTCAGACAGGGAAAAAACAAAAACAAACAAACAAAAACCCATCATTAAGCACAAATTTATTGCTTAATTTAAAAATGAAATATTTATACTCGTGGCTCCATTTTTTCATGTATGTTTTGCTCCCTACTATTTTCCTTTGTTGTCATAGGTTTTAGTGTGTGTATAAATGTGTATTCACACATACTAACACACACAGTCTTGCAAACATCCAAAAATTTACATGTAAAAAGCTGAGATCAGAATTACTATTGGAATTACTTGATTTATTACAAGTTCTGATTCTTTCTTGAAATATTTATAAAACTCACTCAAATTTACAAGCAGAAGGCTTTTCTACATGCTCTGTTGCTAAGCAGAACCCTTTTTCACTTATATTATTACCATGCTACTTTATGGAAACTATCTGGTACCAATGAGATTTTTGGGTTTTGTTTGTTTGTTTTGAGTTGGATACTGAAGTGGACCAATTAAGCCAATGTTTTGTTGATAATAATTTGCATTTCTAAAGCACTTATAACCAGCATTTTGAAGAAGAGTTTGTATGTTGAAGGTCCCATAGATATAAAGGTCTTTCAGTCTTGTTTCACTGTGTACAATCAGATTGAGACCACAAAGACCGTTTTTTTGTACATGTGTATAGTTTATCTCAGTAACCATTGTATAAGTCCATGTTTTTGCTTTGCATATCTGTTAAAAGAGTTAAGCCAGACATTGATTCATAGTTCTCATCTTCAGCGTTGAACACAGCTATACACATATATTTTATGTGTGTATGCCAAAATTTGCTATTTACATCTAACAAAACTATAAAATTTATTTAGATTGAAGACTGAAAGCAAAACCAGTGCTCCACAAGTTAGCTTAGACAATACTGTAGGTCAAACCTTGTATTTATGAAATTAAAGATTTCATTCAATCTTCCTTTTCCCGTTTCCAATGTAAGAAGGAAAATTTGACATGTTTTTCATGAAGACATCACCCCCAACCCAGGTTTCACAGGAATTTGGACTAAAGAATAAGACGGTAGCACATCTCTACTTGTATTGTCATAGTGTCTGTAGCTAGAGCTTGGAGAGAAGAGCAGATCAAGTATACAGTCTTCATTATCCTATTGTAGAAACTATGAAACGAATGTTCAGCCCTAAAGCTGCTTGTTTTAAATTTCCTCTTTATTCACTTGTGTTTAAATTTTAGTTTTAAAGTACTGTCTTTAAAAATATTTATTTAAATGCAAATGTCTGTTTTTCGTACGGAAAGTTAGCTATCTGGGCCATATACCAAAACTTTATGCTATAAAACTTAGATCTAACGTCCCCAAAGTAAAAACTTTCTTTTTTGATTGATAATGTTTAACTTACAGAAAATTATGATACTAACGAATAATGGTGTTATATTAATAAATGGTACCATAACTTACCACGGAATTGTTCACTGGCAAAATAGCAGGTTACAGCATGACAGGTGGGTAGGGTTTCTGCAGGCTATAACCAAGGTTGTTTTATGCATCTATATTCACTTTTAAAGAATTATTAAGAGAATAGTTGTGGGATCATGTGATGAAAATGGAGTAGACCTTACTGAAGAATGCTTCTCTCACAGAAACATGTATTACTAGGAAAGTCACAAAGCACTAATTTAATCTTTTATAGTATATGACAGTTTACAAAAATCTGTCCTATGAAGTAATGCTCTAAAAGTTCTCACTTAGCATTTTCTCATAGTTTTCACAGTTTTATCACTTTATACATAAATGTATTTTTCACATAGGACTTTGCCACAATGATGGATTACAGTGTAGCAAAGTAGTATCAAAGATTGCGAGCAACAGTACATTTGGCAATGTACAGAATACACTTTAGAAGAGTTCACTAGAGTAAACACACTGAACAAAAGTACACCACAGATCAGCAAGCAGAGAGAATTTTAAATAGGAACACTTGTTTTGTGCTTGGAACAATAAAGAAAATGTCTAGACATCTAGTTGTTGTTCAGGATCCACCATGAAGCTGAAAAGAGAAAAAAAATAATAAATAGTGGAAACATTCTCTAGGGCAAAGAAAGTCCAAATTGTAGAGAGATCATCTCTCTCACCTCCAGTCTGCGTAATTAGGTATTTTTCAAGTCTCTAGACTACTTCAGATGAGATTGAATTCTTCCTAAGTAATTGTCATTTACACTGTATTTTTCTTGTTCTTTGTTGTGGTCCAAGACTTTTTGTTATGTATGAATAGGGCTTGTCTTACCAACAAGAGTCTAAACTCCCTGCCGTTAAGTCATGCTGCTCTTGCAGTCTATCTAATTCTAGCTGCAGTTAGGAAATGTGTAAGACACTTCCACATTCACATTTCAAAGGGGTTGAGTATACGCAAGTAGGTGCATTATAAATACTATTTTTCCTATGTTTAGATTTTAACACCAGAAATGTTTGTTTGTTTTTCTGATAAATATAAATACTTCCAAACATAACCTATGGCAAAGAAGCATGGTTGTTGGACTACTGTGAGAAACTGGTGAATGGAAAGGAGGAAACTTTGCTTTTAAAGTTGTTGAATTTGCTGGCAATGGGATTTTACTTTCTTGTGTGTCTTCTTTCTCTATGTCACAGAAGTTCTGCTCTCCGAGTGAAGCACTTGGCTCCTTCTGCTTAGTGGGTTAGGTTGGTTAGTGGTCTGCACTGCTGTATGCCAGTATGCCTCATTTGACTGATTTTTTAAATTAAGCAGGTCAGAGGGATATATTTTGGTTTGCATACTTATATCTGGATGGTATTTGGCTTAGTTACTTTACCTCTTGAGATGTATCTTGGGTAATCTAACAATCTTAATGAAAAAGTGACCTTATTAGAAATAATTTCTGAACTAAATTAAAAAACATCTTAGCCTGTATTTCTAAATATAATTGCTGCCTTTTTCAAATTTTAGGCTTAAATATGTGCAGTAACTGTGGTTTTTTTTTTATTTTTAACCTTCATAGCTATATAACATACAAAATGCACAAAACTGGTCATTAAAATTAGTACTAGAAGTTGTATGGCCATTAAAACCCACAAATAATATTTTCACACCAATTTCAGCTTTTTGTTCAAGAAGAGGTTCCTGGGATTACACCTATGAAATTTGGAATGTCCCAATAAATATTAAAATCTTGTTTGAGGCAGGTTTTAAATTGTGGTCAAAGCCAAGTTTAGTTTACATTCCGTTATGTTCCTTCATCATTGTTGAGATTAGATGTGATATGAAAATTGATACAAGGTAGGGCAGCGATTAAATAGTATTAAACTGAATTAAGTTTGAGTTCAGGGAACAAGAGTTAATCCAGTTTTATTTGTGTTCAAAATTTCTAAATTAGAAAGTGCAGAGAGATATGGTGTGCCAGGGACACTAACAGTGCACTGAAAGTCCATCCAAATATTAAAGTTGGAGCAGGAAACTGTAGCAGGTTACTTTATATTTACAACGCTTACAGGAGCATTTGCCCCACCCCTCACTGCTATTTAGCCCATTTTCTGTTATTTTTCTACTCTATTTTTGATCAGATGTTTTCTGACCTTGATAGACTCCAGACTCCAATAAGTATAATATTCCTTTTACCTCATTGGATCAGCAGTTTCACAACTGGGATATTTGAAAATAAATATGAAGACAGGCAAAAATAGATCAGAACCAGTGAGATTTTCATGACTGAGTATCAGTGCACTTATGATGTGAAAGTTTTTCATTCTTTTAGGAAAGCTATACTGTTTTGTGCTCTCAAGTTCTAGTACTACATTAGACTAAATGAAAAGATAAATGCCCATCCCATATTCCTGCATTCTATCAGCAAAGGCTATAGTAAGTCCTATTTGCAGAATTTATTTGCAGGTTGAAGCTGTTTAAAACAGAAAGTTCAAGCCTGAATAATAGCTAAGTTAAATTTTTGTTAGATAAATAGAAGGCAATAGCCTCAGTCTGTTCCTTAATAACCTGCTGCCACACTTCCCCGACCTTTCCCCAAGCTATGGTGCCTTGTAATATAAATTGAGTCAAGCTATGAAGCATGAGAAAGTCAATCATATACATGCCTTTCTTGTTTGAGGATTAAACATTGCTATAAAGTGAGAGACATTCCCTATGAGTGCCATTCTCCAAGCAGACAAGCATGTTCCCCAGGAGCTGTAATGGCACACCAATGCTCTGGCTCAGATCGTCGGGACCAGCCAAGTTGAAAGCATTCACATCTGCCCTCTCTGTCTTCTTCACCAGCTTCAGTTCCAGAATTCACTTTCTCATGCCCTATTTGTTCCTCATTGCATCAAAATCTACCTTAGGTTCAAATTGCTAGCACTCTATTAAGACTGTTCTTCCGAGTCGTCATCTTGTCAAATCCAGTTTCCTGTGCCATTGTTTCAGTCGCTCCACCATACATGCCCCTAGGAGCACTGTGCCCTTCCTTGCATTTCACTCCTGCTTTGACACTGCCCTGTCTGTTCCACTTCTCCTCCTTCGACTGGTGCCCCTCAGACTCCTTATTGAAGGAAGCTCTCCTTCCTCTACAGATCTTTACCCAAAGGCATTTCCCAGGCTTCCCTCAATGTTCTGCACATTCTCACTAGTCCCAGCTTCAGGAATCGTCTCTGGTGCTTTGCTCCTGGATGCTGCATTGGTAGCTGGAGTTCCAGCCAGCTTTTTTTTTCCTTCCCTAACCTGGCTGGTCATTCTCTCTCCACTCCGGGATGACAGCCTTTTTCCCTCCTGTCAGTTACTACTGATTAGAACCTGCAATGACTCCAACTTCCTTTTCATATAGCTAAGATATTTTCAACCTTAAAGTTGAGAATGATCACTTCTCTAAGCCCAGAAAGTACAAGTTACTTGTAGTGGTAACTATTTCATGCCTTGAGCTGTGTTTTGTGTAAATGTGTGCCTTTTGTAAAAGTTCTGATCAAACTGAATAGAGAGTACTTTATCTGTAGAGACTGTTTTTACTTGGCCACCTCAGTTACCTCCTGGCACAGTGCTTGGTCAGAACAGGAAGGATCTCAGTGGGTGCCAGTAAATGGGCTAAGCACCGATGCCAAGCACATATTACTAGTCAGTAAATGTCTGTAGACTCAGGAACTGACTGTATGGGTAGATAACAAGTGAATTTGGGCTCTCAACCTTCTTAACTAAGCTTTGTCTAGTCATCTTAGACAATTTTATTCTAACCTTTTTCCGTTTTTTCTCCAAATTATACTTTACTTGATTTACTTTAATAGCTATTATAATGAACATTTCTAACATAATTCTAATCTTCAGCCTACATTTACTTATTTCAAACTGCATTCCGTATACTAAATTGTAATATAGTCAAACATTTAAATAATTTTTAATTGTCATGACTTAGACTTAAATTCCACTAAAATTCTGAAGGTAAGCCAACCACTAACAATAGGTTTAATACTAAGAATTACTAAGAACTGAAGACAATAGAATAAAATCTCATTTCTCCCCATCTCTCCAAATGCTGTATGAAGAGACAGTGGAGAAGGCACCATTGATAAAGTGTTGGGGAGCATACTGTCTTTCAAAATCAAAAGCTAAAGAAAGGAGACAGAAGCATGATCCCAGGTCATTACCAGGAACTAGCATAGTAGATGTGAGTTCCGGAGTTTCCAAGAAATCCACGTTACTTCTTTGGAAGGTCTTGCTGTAATTCATCTGAAGGTGGCTGTACAAAGGATTACAGGTTAAAGCTGTGCATTTTTATTCCCAACCTTCCTAAAGGAAGGATAGCAGAGGTCGAATTCAAGCAAGATGTCACGGTTTGAGTTGATTTAGACTAAATGCCTGGATACAGACCTCTTTTAATGGTTATTTGTCTTTAAAGAATCTGAAAAGTAATCATTGTCATCAGAAACTTAGAAGAAATGGTATTTAAGATAACCACACAAACACGAACAGTAAGAGGAGGTTTTTCAGATTTTCAAAAGTTTAAAAATGAAAGTATCGGCTATCTGAACAGTTAAAAAATAGTATGCCTGTAAACATGAATTTCCATTACTAGAAAATAAAATTTAATCTACCTACAAGGCTGGAAATGAGTTGCCTTCAAGAGTATCTGCCTAGACTGCTCTTGGTGTCATTTGATCTATATTACAGCACAAAGTGCTACAGTTACTCATCAGCAGAGCTAGAGGTAGAATCCAAGGCATATGGGACAGGCACTCCACTGCCCAGCTACCATCCCAAGTTCGTCTTTTGAAGCCACAAAAATAATTTAAGGTGAAATATGGATCAGCTAAATTTCCTCATGTTCTTCTACTTTTATTACCATAGTTAGCACCCTAAAACATGGATTTATTGGCGATACCTGTTTTTTGTACTGCTTAAAACCTGGAACTATTTATATAACAGAAGAGCAAAAAGTCCATTCATTGCTTATTTTTAAATCATGTATTTCTTAGTTATCAGTAATTTTACTTTCAAAATTGTTTTTTTTTTTTTTATTTTCCAAACAACATCTTTTGGTCTCTTCTTCCTCCTTTATTTATAATATTTAAGGATATTTTTAAAAGTTATGATTTACTGGGCATGGTGGTTTACTGGGCATGGTGGTACACACCTTTAATCCCAGACCTTGGGAGGCAAAGACAGATGGATCTCTGTGAGATGGAGGCCAGCCTGGTTTACATAGCCAGTTCCAGGCCACCTGGGGCTACAGGGAAATCCTGTCTCAAAAAAGATAAAAATGAAATAAAAAGGTATGATATTAGGCCTGAAGAGATGGTTCAACAGTTAAACATAGTGGTCCTAAGTTTGGTTCCTAGCGCCCATTGTTGGGTTACTCACAACTGCCTGTAACTCCAGCTCCAGGGGGATCTGACACCTCTGGCCTCCTTGGGCAGCAGCACACATGTGCACATTTATCTACACATAGACACGTAGACACACACAAGTATACATAATTAAAAATAATGAAAACACCTTTAACCCCAGCACTCAGGAGGGAGAGGCAGACAGATCTCTGAGAGGTTGAGATCAGCCTGGACTACATAGGGA